TTTGCAGCAATTTCAAACATAGCGGAGCTGCTTGGATAAAATCTTTGAGGAATGAAGAGCTAGCAAAGTTGAAGTTAGAGTTAAACCAAAAGCGTTAAATATGACAGAAATGGCTCACTTCAGAAAGAAACTTCAAGGGTTACTTAAGGGTTAAAGAGTTAAGAAAATTTGAAGATGGGGAACACCCTTCTGTGGTCCACTGCCATTTTGATTAAAAATCGAAATATTTTAACCAGGCTGGTTTTCATTAAATCAAAGAAACTTTCAGCTGTAATAAACATTCAAACTGCTTCTTCATTTATGAGTTAATTGTTTTAACTGAGTTGTTTCTCTAAAACTGTTAGCTAACTTGGGCGCTGAGAACCTCAGAAATGTTGCGAGAAATTAGAGAATCTGTTTCGAGTCTAGAGAATTGAGTCCTAAACATGTGTTGTCCTGCAGGGGGCGCAGAAACCCTTCAAGAAGGTGATTGATGTTAGCTCAGGTGATCCCCACAGAGTTGATTTACAACATGTTTCATTTCTTCGACAGGTTAGTGTTCATTAATTGTGTTGTGTAACTTTTTGTGTTGTGTAAGCATTCCTGTCAAACTTGTGTATCTGTCATATAAGTTGTGATTTTTTAAGTTTAATCTTATTTATCCATTTTATTTTCATGTGCTTTATTTATGTCCATTACTTTCTGCAGTGGATGTAATGTATAGTGATTATTGTTAATTCCTGCATTTTATATTACTCTTGCACCATACATATCCTATATTTGTAACCATGTTGTCTTCTTAATGTGTTAAAAACACTTTCCTTGTTCAAAAAGGCTTGTCTATAAAGTCCTCTCTGAATCTGGCCTACTTCCTCAGGTCTTGGCAGTGTGTATATACCCTCAGCTGCTGGAAGACAAATGTTTTCCTCTCGATGTCAAGATAAGAGCTCAGAAACTCCTGGAGGCCTGTGATGGAGCAAGTGTGGGTGAAGGTTAAAAAATTTGTATGTACAAACTGAATTTTAAACTTGAGAGTCTGGGATTTTAACTCACATGTATATTGAAATATACTTAAATAATTATAATTTGATAGGTTCATACACTGCATCCTCTGGTCTTCGTCATGTGAGGCAAAGCATCGCTGAGTTCATCACAAAAAGAGATGGAGTTCCTTCATATGCCCAAAACATCTTTATTTCTGCTGGCTCTCAAAGGGCTATAATGGTAGGACTATGAACACTATTCGTACTATTTCTAGTTACACAAATGCTACATGTATCTACTCTGGTCGAAAGAATCCACGCTTCGTACTGATGTCCACAATTCTTTTATTCCTCTCACAATTATGGAGCACCGTGAAAACTAGAAACAAGTAAAATAATATCAACAGCACATATGACATTCATCTCAGCCACCTATTCCTTTTCACAAAGTGCACAAGTGCTCAACAAATAACATCATAATGTTTTTACGGTGTACGCCTTGTAAAACCAGTAGTAGAAAAGTTATACATTCCGAAAAGTCCACCGTTTTACCGTTCTGTCTTGTCTCTCCCGCGCACAACCTCCGGTTCCCGCGACTCACAGGAAGTGACTACTTCACAATAATTTTTTAACAGAAACATTTCTTATATGCAGGATGTATTATTCATCCTGCTTATAAGCATGAATGATTAGGAAAAGATAATCATTCATAGATTATCTTTTCCTACTGCAAATGTACACAAACATGAGTACCAAATAAAGAAAACAAATAGAAAACAATATGACGATCTCAGACACGCTACTGGTGTTGTCATGGCAACCAACACAA